GTATTTCGCTGTTTCTGGACTGGACACTTGGTTTCCCCTTTTTTTGCATTTTGGAAATACCCATGGACAAACTAACCATTTGATCAGTATCAAACTGTAAAACACTTCTTGAACTATAAAAATAGACTGAGGTGATAATACTTAAGAACCCAGAGGTGTTTCAAAACCATTTCATTATGCCATCAAATGTTCTTGTTGCACACAGAAATAGAATGAATATGCGTTTAGAGGAGGGGTAAAGTATAGATACATCATGATTATATAGATCTCTATGCTGGATGGATGCTTTGCAGCATAAGATCCCTTGCAACCTAAGTTGTGTAATAGAATTCACACAAGTCACTTTTGTTCTGGCACTGCTGAAATTTCATAACATTATGTTAATTTTCAGGTTGGAACAGTCTCTTATTATAGTAATATTATACCTATCAGCCATCAGAGTTGAAGCATTATCTTCATACTTACTGTGTAAAGTTAAAGAAAAAATAGGCAATGTATGAACCAAAAGCCTATCTAGTTCTCATAAAAGCAACCATTGCTCTCTATAACTTGGGAAGGAGCTGAGAAAGGAGGCTTAAAACTGCAAATAGTTTATTTTAGAATGGAACCAGGGTGTCACTATTGGATCGTTGGGGGCAAAACCGCCTCCTACATCCAAACGTTTCTCTTAGTTTCCAAACAGCATTTGAGTCACTTCAAAATTCAGTTGGCAATTCGAAAATACGGTCAACTTAGGACCAAAACTGCAAAGCAACTGCAAGCACAGAAAATACAAGTTCTAAGGCAATGGCAAAAATTTGAAGACTGGAGGAAAATCTGATTTGAGGGAGAATACATATTTGGGAGAGAGACAATCCACCAACCCCCCCCCCCCATATCTATAGCCCTGAAGGGATACCCAACATCTCTTCCATAGGTAGGGCTAAGAAAGATACCTGTGTGAATTAGTTCAGTCAAAGAGTGAGAAAGGTCCAGAGCTCAGACATTCAGACTTATGGTGTGGCACAACAGCCCCTCTCCCCTCTATTTTAGGGCAAAATTGGAAATTATTATTTTTGTCTTTTGTTCCTGCAGCAATGGGACTTCTACATGGTCTCAAAGGGGCATGTGGTCTTCAAAATACAGGGGCATATGTGGCTCTCAGACCACAGTTTCTTGTCCTTTGTGGAGCAAATTCTGAACTAGATGAATCAATGGTCTGATCTTGTGTATGACAGTTTTCTTAGTTCCTAATACATCAGATTCTTTTTCCCAACCTACTCATACTCAGTATCCCTCAACTATACACACAGAGAGATGCAAGAGACAATCTACCTTATTAACGTAGATGCCTCTAAGCTAAATTAATTTCCAGAATGAAGCAGAACTTCATTTCTGAGTCACAGCAAATTTAATGTATCTACCCAGAGCCCATTAAGAGAATGATAATTTACACATTTGGAAAATAAACAAACATTGCCCACCAGTGGTTCTTCACTGGGGAAATGTGGTAGAAAAAGAGGAGCTATGCTTGCTCACGCTTTTAAATGGCCTGTTGCTTGAGTCATCTGGGAGTGCCTAGCTCAGTTTACTCTTTGTCCTTCAGGCACAATTGGCTATGGCACTGCTTTTGCTTCCTGCTCTCAGTTTGTGTCCAGTAATGATGATGAGAGGTTTGATAGCCAAATGATGTTGTACAGAAATGGCTTGGGACAGAGCAGTTCATTTCTATGCCTTTAAGGGAGCTGGGATGAAAAACGTCAAATGTTCCTTCCAGGCATGCAATTTTGCAATTAGACACTGATTACAGTCAACCTGTGATCAAGTGATGCTCAATCAATTCCAATTACTTGGTAAGCTGCCTGCTTTGAAGTAATACCTATATAACATAGAGGCATTGTACTTACCTGGCTGCAAGAAAGAGCAGATTTTGAGCAAATTTCAAGCTTTATGCCAATCTGTTATCAATTCTAAAATGTTCCTCAAAAGCAGTTACATATTATTTTCAAATGTAATGATAATGTGTTTACAACACTGGGCTAGATGGACCTATGGTCTGATTCAGCATAAGAAAATTTCCTATGTTTTTATGATGGGAGGGACAGACCAACTATTGGGAGGGCAGCAATCTCCCCACCTCTAAAATAACCCTATTATGAATGCCTGCTCTGAAAGCCAGTTTCCATAGGATGGCTGCATAGCATTTAGAAATCCACAACTATAGGGGCAAAACTAATTGTGAAGTGCCACCCACCAACCCAGTAGTATCCTTATTGATGGCAAGTTGCCAATCCTGCAGGGAAGAGCCAAACAATTGTCCTAGAAGTCTACAATTGGCTAAATCCATGGAAGGACGAATCCCGCAACAGGGATGCAAACAGCAGAGAGCATCAGACATACTGGATGTAAGCCCATGGGGGAGTAAAAAAGCATACCTGTTTGCAAGAACAGAATTGCCAGAGTTGCTTTGCAGCTCCAGCCCTTTGAGTTTAATCAATAAACTTCAAAAATAATTTTATATATGTGAAAGAGGACCAAAGAAAACACCACTGCGTGTGTGCAACCTTTACATCCTGACCACTGCCTTTTTAGTGGGTCTTGAATATTTGAGATTCTCTGTGCACTTTTTTCCAAGACTAAAAAGCATAAAATACATTAGCTTGAGGCAAAATGCTGAGTTGTTCTGGTAGCCCAAATCAAAACAATTTATTCATACAGTAGCCATCTTTTCCATATGAATATAAACACTTTACATAGATATCTGATTTGTGCAATAAAGGCCATTCCTACTACTACTACTGTTAAGCTAATATTCTTTTGCCAATGTGTTTTTGTTTCCCTTCCCAAAGTACTGCTCTCCAGAGGAATAATATTATTTGAAATTATGTGCCAATGGACGGATATATTAAATATATTTGGACAGGGCTGTGTACTTTTCGGGAAAATGCTGCTTGAACTTTTGCACTACGTCTTTATGTAAGTGCAGCTATTTGTTTTAAAATGACAGAATGTTTTTGCTTACATGTGGGAGATTAAAAAGGGGAAAGGAAATTGAGAGATCAACTATGAAATACGTATACCCCAGAGCTCAGCCGGTACATGGCACTCCCTGTTTGTAAACAATTATGTCCCCAACTGAAATACTTGAAAACATCAGGATCTAAAATACAAAACATCTTGTAGAAAGAGATTGTAACACTTCACAGTAAAAGTTACAATTTTGGAAGTCTGCTTTTCAGTTCTAAAGCTACCCAAAGAGAACTATTAATGCAGAATCAAAAGGAATTCAGAGTGCTTATCATTCTGTGATAAATTATTAAATATGATAGAAGCTGGACCCTTGGATATACCTACCTCATCTTCAGTCCAGGCAGAATCAGATCAGGCCATGACAACAGTGTAGATGATGATGATGATGATGATGATGATGATTGTTGTTGTTGTTGTTGTTGTTGTTATTTGATACACAACAAGATGAGTCCACAGCAGACACTCTGCTGGCTGTTGTATTGGATCACACATCGGACACTTCCCAAGTGTCTAGGACTGTGTGATGTATCAGTGAATAATGTGTGCAGATCCCAGTAAGGTGGCCTTTTGCAGCTGGCAGATGGTAATCTTGTCAGCGCCAATTGTGTTTAAGTGCAGGCCAAGGTCTTTAGGCACTGCACCCAGGGTGCCGATCACCACTGGGACCACCTTTACTGGTTGTTGTTGTTGTTGTTATTATTATTATTATTATTATTATTATTATTATTATTATTATTATTATTATTATATAGCAATCTCACCAGCAATATTTTAAAACAGCACCTCGTGCTTTAGAGATTCAAACACAATATTTAGATATTTGAAAATCAAGGATTTTCATTCTAAAGAGCTATTCTGTTTGGAACTTATATGAGACACCTGTTGTTTGGGTTGATTACATTTCTTCACAAAACAGACTCCTAGCAATGATCCTCAGAGTGATGCCAATTCATCCTGTTCTTAAATAATTTCAATGCTTTCCAATAATTCAATGTCCAAAGACGAAGTTAAAAAATATCCTCTCCCCTGCATAGGCTGAATGACTGCTTGATATTCACATGTGAATTCATGAAAGGTGTTTGGAAAGAGAAGGTGGGAGTCAGGTTACTTTTTGATATGTATTCTTCTCATAGGCAGCCCATTCCTACAGAAATCACAACCTGCTACATTAAGACGAAGGGAGGAGGGAGAGACATTATGTTCTGAACATCTGGACAGATGCAGCTTAGCATTCTAACAGTCTCTTTAGGATTGATCAGAAATGGAATAAAGCAAATACTGTACATGCATTAAAGAGATTTAACATGTCTAATAACTCAAATATATACACACAACCTTCTGTCTGATGTGTGTGTACACATCAGACAGAAACAAGAGATGCAGCCATGGAACAAAAAACATGTAACACCTTCCCAAACTACTGAATCATACTTTTTCCTGTTACCTCAACCTTTCCCCTGTCATGCACTACTTTCAGAGTAGCACAAACTGTGTTCCCTTGAAAAGTGGAATTAAACAAATACATACTGAATCACAAACATAAACATGAAGCAATCTATGTTTGAAGTTCCTGCCATTAAACATACATTTCAATACTGTCTTTCTCTGCATGTTTCTGGGAAGCTTGGGGAAATGGGGAGCAGATTGTACCTGCAAATACAGAGAACTATGCATATTCCTAGTTTTTATAGGACAGAGATGTAACTGGTTTTGCTTTGCGGCTGCATATTAAAGCATCATTGAAATATTTTGTACCTAATGACTCCTTTTCCACTGTAACATGCAATTTTACTGTACCAGATATAACATACTGTACTTGTTTTATCCTTCAGAGTAACTGGAAGTTACTAGGTATACAGTAAGCAGATATAAGAACATTGGATAGTATCAAAAAGCACATGGAAAAAAAACTGGAGTCTGAAACAATATCAGAGGAGCTACAGGAGAGAGAGAGTGGGGAACAGAAGATAAAGTAATAAAGTTTTACTTACAGTCCTCTGAGACGAAGCCATATCTTCTCTATTTGTTCCGGTTGCAGGTACTTCAAAGAGTTGCTCTCAAATTCTTCTATTTCCTTTGTCGGAGACTCCATCGCTCAATGTGGTTCACTTGGTTAAAGCTTAGAAAAAATGGATGCGTCCCCAGAAACATGCACACGATCCACGTTGGTTGTGGGGGTTCTTTTTTTCAACACTGATCAAAAGCAGCAAACATTTTTTCCTGCCTCTCAGTACTCCTGCCCCCCCCCTTGTTCCACACTTTGATTAGAAGGAGCGTGTGCAACCGGCAAGAATTCCAGGTGTGCACTGAGAGTAGTCGTGGGGGAATGCCATGCTCCTCAGAGTAATGGACGGGATTACAGGCTGATCTCCAGATTGAATGCAACCACAGATTTTTATTTTTATTTTTATAAGCCAAAGACACAAGCAGTAATACCAGCTTGAATGATCTTTACCACAGTGAGGGAGGGTGGAGCAGAAAACCCTTGCTGACAATTAAGCTGCCTGGATGGGAGGCCCGAAAGTATTGGCAGATATACAGATCCCAATTATACGCCTTGCTATTTGCTGGACCCTGCGTCTTCCTTGCTCTCTGCTATGAAAGGCAGTCCTCATTCCTTCCAGGACTGAATCTCACTCCCTCGCTCTCTTTTGGTGACACACACCCACAAATGCCCTCCCCTTCTCGTGTTCTTCCACTTACCAGCCGCTTTGCTGACAGGCAAGGAAACCGACAACTGAGGAAAAAGTCATCTTTTAATTCAAGTCTGGCCAGTCTCTCTGTGTGTGTGTTTCCCACACACACAGAGGCACATACACACTTTTTCTTTCATGCAAAAGCTCACAGAACTATAGGAAAAAGGAAGGATAATCCCAAAAGGGGGAGAAGCCAGCTTCAATTAAAATGGAACAAGCAACGGAGTGAAGCAATTTCACTAATGCATCTCTGCAAAAGTCATCTGTCTGAGTATAGCTAGTGTTGCCTTCATGAGACGGAGCCAACAGCAAAGAGAAAAGCCACAGTCTGAAACTAGTCTTTGATAGGTAAAAATCAACTAGTGACTGTGTTACCATGAAATTGATAATGAACTGCTGATAGAATCAAACATAACCAATTAGTGTAACTAAAAGAAATCAATTAATAATAATAGTAATGATAATAATAATAATAATAATAATCTTTATTTCTACCCCGCCACCATCTCCCCGATGGGGACTCGGAGCGGCTTACATGGGGCCAAGCCTGGACAACATAATACAGAAATAAAATCAAGGCATATACATCAGACAACAACAACATTATCAAAATGACATTAAAATAATAATAAAATAATAGTAATAATAAAATTAAAATAAAATAAAATAAAAATTCCAATAGACACAATCATGATAGAGATGACAATGGGTGGGCCATGAAAGAGGAATCATTACTCTGTTGATTTGAGATGGCTTAAACAATTGATTTTAAAACTGAGGATGACTGGTTTTAATTTTAATTTATATTTATAATTTATTGTATGTTCCGACATTGAATATTTGCTATATATATGTTGTGCTCCACCCTGAGTGCCCTTCAGGATGAGAACGGTGGAATATAAATGTTTTAAATAAATAAAATCATAGCTATGGGATGGTTTTAGTAAAGAAGACAAGTATCTGTCAACAGTTATTTCATCACATGGTGTCTGTTTTAATGTAATGAATTCCACTGGATGATCTCAGTGACCTCCTGTGATCATGTTTTTCTACAGGTTTATGAAATCTGTAGATTGTGTTCGGTAGGATTATTTTAGCAATTTTAGTCTGCAGTGTTACTAAATACTTTACAAATCCTCAGTTGTGACACATCTGCCAGCAAAGGATTATCCCGTGTCGATCTGATGAAACAGACTTGTCCACAAAAGCTTACACTATAATTAATTTATTAGTATTTAAGATACCGCAAGACTCTTTGATGTCAGTAACACAGTAACATGATTCTATCCACCAACCAGAAGTGATGTCGTTGTGATCCAAGAGGTGTTTCAAGGATCCATCTGTACAGTTTACAGTTCCTCCACCAAGACATTTGGCTTATGGAATAGAACCACTTATCAGTTGATATTAATACTCAGAGGTGACTGGTTCCAAAATATACGTCGGAATCCAATTGAATTGTTTTATTAATGGAGTTGCTTCCATCAGAAGAACTATGGGGTAGTGGTGAAGTTCTGTTTCATGAGGCCCACATGCACCATATAATTTATAGCACTATCATTCCACTTTAACGACAAAGGCTGCATTCTGTAGAATAATGGAGTTTACTGTATGATGGGACACTGCAGCACTTTCACTGAAAATTCCCAGCAAGTCTCTCCGTAAAGTCAAGGATTCTGTAATTGTAAGACTCTGTGTAAGACTCTGTGTAGCATTAAAGAGCCTTTGGATGATGCCAAAAGCTAGAGATGAGATGGGAAGGAAGGGGAATGGTGAAAGTCATATTGTGCTGCCATGTTGGGCTTAGGTCACAGAATGTGTATCCCCCTCTCCATTTTATAAAGGGTACTTTCATTTCTTTTCTACGTTAATGTACAAAAGTCTTCCCCTTCTCTTCATGATCAGATTCTTAAGATGGATTCACAAACTTATATGGAACAAGTATGAATTCATTATATATTCTACTTCCAAGACAGCCCTAATTCAGAAATACTACCTTTATACAGTAAGGAATGTGCATAAAGAGAAACATGCAGCTTGATAAATCCACCTTGACAATAAGTATTTAAAAGATTGCAATCAACAACAACAAAACTTTATTTATATACCGTTCTATCTCCCCGAGGAGACTCAGAGCAGTTTCCAAATAACATAATCAATACATACAAGAAAAACAGCATAAACATAAAATTAACAAGACAATATAAGCATTAAAAACCACAATAAAACATACATATTTAAAATAATCCTGCCTATTCAAGGCAATTTAAAAGGCTGGGCCGGGGCTAGTGCAATTTTAGAGGGCCTGGGAAATTAGGCAGAGTCTATGGCTGTACATTTCCAGGGCCTAATAGAAGAAAGTAACCTGGGTAATTGGTAGAAAAAATATGGCCAATTTCAACAGTATCTGAGGCAGAGCTAGAACTAGTCATTCTCAAAGGTTTGTTTAAACCACCAGGTCTTCTGGCTCTTACGAAAGGAAGGGAGGGATTTGGCTTGTCTTATTTCTCTAGGAAGGGCGTTTCAGAGGCGGGGGGCCACCACTGAGAAGGCCCTCTCTCTCGTCCCCACCAACCGTGATTGTGACAGTGGTGGGAGCAAAAGGAGGGCCTCCCTGGAAGATCTTAAAGTCCGCGCCAGTTCATAGAGGGAGATGTAATCGCAAAGATAGGTGGGGCCCGAACCGTTTAGGCTTTATAGGTCATAACCTGCACCTTGAATTTGGCTCGGCAGCTTATCAGCAGCCAGATAAGCTGTTTTAAAATTCCAAAAAATCCTCCATACGTCAAGATGGTTCAAATGGAAAGATGGGGACGTGGGTCAAAATGGAGTAAAGTGTGAAGGAAATTTAATGTAAAGAGAAGGAAATGATTCTTAAGTAGAGATGGAGGGAAAGATATATATCCTCCATGGAACTTCACCAACAGTAACTAACTTTCAAATTTCCCATCAGCCAGATGGGAGTATTGTCAGAACATCTGGTTGGTTCCATGTCTTCCCTCCACACTTTATCCAAAGAGTTCTCACTTGATTCTTACTTATAAAAACACACAGGAAACACCACAATAATTGAAGAGTTCTTTCCTCCTATATGAATCAATGTGTTGTTTGCCATCAAAGTCGTTCCTATGCATGTCACTAGTGAAAGAGATATTTATTTGGCACGAACTGGGAGGGGGTCCTGCTTGCTATTGGCATCCCAGTTCTAGCCCTCAACGCAAGAGATTTGGATGGTCATCTCATTGTAGACTTTGAGGATTCTTTCAGACAAGACTTTGACTGTACAATCGCACTGCCTTGATAATGGAAGTTTCTGGGAGATCTTCAATTCACAAGCCTCTCAAGTTTCTCCCATCTTTCTTGAGTTCTTACCTTTACAAATAAAATGTGTTAAGGTACAAAGGCAGAATAGCTGCACGGTGCTTTTTAATTGTGAATAGTGAAAGGCTTTTGTCTGCCAACACCTTTAGGCACTTTTAATTAAAGCGGTTTCCTCTGTTTTGCACTCTGGCTGGTTTCTTATTTCTCAATTTTTAAAAAAAGTTGTCCATTTTTAGGTTTTGCCTTGATGCTTTTAACGTTGTGACTCCCCTTGTGGCATCTTTTAAGCACTAAAAGGTGGAATAAAAATACATATACAAATAAAAACACACAATCATGCTGCTCTCTTATAATAATGTCATTGTCCTCTGAGGAGCAACAGGAAGTGCCGGTGGGCAGCAATCCTCACATTAGGTTCGGCAAGGCAAAGAGATTTTCTTTTTGTGTGCTTGTCTAATAGCACTTTGCTTTATTAACTCACCTGCTAAAATTAACATCATGAACTGCTAATTCCAAGGTCACTTTATTGCTTCCTTGTAATTGGATTACAAGCTTTGTGAACTGGACCCCCAATTTTTATTTATCTCTCAAAACAATACCTAGGGCTCTTTTATGCTAGATAAGTATCAAATTATGATTCCATCCTATAGGATCCCTGGATATATGTTTTGGCCAGGACCTAGAACTCCCTGGCTGAGAATACTACTGTTCTCTGCATATTTCATAGAATTGAGCCATGGCAAGTGCTATATTGATAGAATGTGTAAGGGCCACTACTCAAAATAGTCATTCATCATCACCACCATCATCATCCCTGAGACTCTTTTGTAGAGAGAGAAAATGGATATAAATAAATATAATAATCATCATTACTATAATCGTATATAATTATATAATCATCAATATTATTGATATTTATTTATCATTATATGGAGCCCTTGGTGGCACAGTGGGTTAAATCACTGAGCTGCTAAAGGTCACAGGTTCGAATCTGGGGAGCGGTGTGAGCTTCCGCTGTCAGCTCCAGCTTCTGCCAACCTAGTAATTTGAAAACATGCAAATGTGAGTAGATCAATAGGTACTGCTTCGGTGGGAAGGTAATGGTGCTCCATGCAGTCATGCTGGCCACATGACCTTGTAGGTGTCTATGGACAATGCCAGCTCTTCAGCTTAGAAATGGAGATGAGCACCACCAAAAGAGAAGGATAGTCCATTTTATTTTTGTTCATTCATTCAGTCATCTCCGACTCTTCGTGACCTCATGGACCAGCCCACGCCAGAGCTCCCTTGGCCGTCACCACCCCCAGCTCCTTCAAGGTCAGTCCAGTCACTTCAAGGATGCCATCCATCCATCTTGCCCTTGGTCGGCCCCTCTTCCTTTTGCCTTCCACTTTCCCCAGCATAATTGTCTTCTCTAGGCTTTGCTGTCTCCTCATGATGTGGCCAAAGTACTTCAACTTTGTCTCTAGTATCCTTCCCTCCAATGAGCAGTCAGGCTTTATTTCCTGGAGGATGGACTGGTTGGATCTTCTCGCAGTCCAAGGCACTCTCAGAACTTTCCTCCAACACCACAGTTCAAAAGCATCTATCTTCCTTCGCTCAGCCTTCCCTAAGGTCCAGCTCTCACATCCGTAGGTTACTACAGGGAATACCATGGCTTTGACTAGGCAGATCTTTGTTGCCAGTGTGATGTCTCTGCTCTTTACTATTTTATCGAGATTGGACATTGCTCTCCTCCCTTTACCTTTACCTTTACCTAATCATCATTACCATCATTGCATCCTCCATCCCTTTCACCTTGATTCATCCATGGCTCAGCTTGATCACCTGGTTCTCCTAACTTACTAGAAACGATATCATATTAACG